TTGAGAATGCCTTACAAACTGCTCCTGCCAGGGGCGAAACTAGGCTTTATTTCACCCAGGTCAAAGACCCAGTTTGGCACCCCTGCCCCCCACATTTGTGTACACACATACACACACAGGGTGCAAACCTCAATGGCGCCCCTCTGGAGGCTTCACCCAGGCAAAAAAAGCTGTAGCTCTGACTCTGACTGTTAGGCACAAAATGTTGGAGCCTCTTTGCACAGGGCCAGTGTTTCCTGGCCTGCCGGAACAAGGGTGATGGGACAAATTCCTGAATTACAGGGGATTGGACTAGTCAACCCTTGGGGTTACTTCCGACTCTGAAATTCTATGATAAATTAGATTACATAAGAAACTCAAGGCCGACTAGAGAATGAATGCCCCACCTCTTAGAATATAATCACTTTGAAAGTGTAAGTCAAAGTAATTTATCACTGGGCAGCCAAGTGATTGCTTCTTTTACATGTGACAATATTTCTAGAACAGAGACTCTAAAATGTAGGGCAGGCCCCCATTTGGGTGGCATGGAAAAGCTGAAAGGGAGGGGCACATCTCATGGAAGAACAGCCCATTGATGGGCGCATCAAGAAAAGGATTATAATTTATTCCCACTGGATTTGTGGAAGTGACTGCTCTCTCATTTCCCCCCGTCTTTGGGATGAACTGCTACTTGGTTCTATTATGTTTTCCACGTGTGTTGGTTCAGGGTGTCTTGTTCTATTCTAGTTTCCCATGCCCAAGTTAAATGAATACTCCAGTTTACAGAATTTTTCAGAGAGCTGTAGGTTGCATACACATGGCTGTATTCAATACTTTTTGCACACATTGCAGAGTGGACCCAGTGGCTAGGGGTGCTAGAAGGAAGATTGAGTCTAGAAGGGTGAAAAAGCTCAAATGCTACGCTGACAAAATTGGTAAAGCAGGGAATCCACTTTGCTCTTGGCAGGACAATCTATGCCCAGAAAAACCAAATTCATGAGGATATAACCTCCCAAAACTGTAGGTATGAGAGGAGGAAAAAGAAATAGAAGAACACACCAAATAATATCTATATATATGAATGCTTACATATTCTCTAAAACAGGAAGATACCTTAAATCTTTCCACGGTTCCATCATGTTCTGAATAGCCTGCATTGACTCTGACAGCATATAAATTAAACCAGGCAAAAAATAAGAGGATTTTGTCCCACCCAACCGCAGAAGTTCCCATCTAGTTCTCATTTTTTATTTGTCTAGTTTGAAATATCCCTATGGAGAATGATTTGCTCCTGGAAACAAAATCATTTTCCTGTGATTTAGGATGTTTGTCACTGAACAAGATTATTCAGACTGATTAAATTTCAAACAAGCCAAACATATGGTAAGTACTACAGGAGCAAGAGGAAAAAGTGCTCTGTGAGATGATGCAGCGCATTTGTTCCATGCTGCCTAGCAATGGTGCCCAGGTCTTCTCCTTAAAGAGGTTTGTGACTGGGCATACAGCAAACACTCTGATGTGATAATGAGCTGCCAGCCACAAAATCAAGGTACGGTGGAGAAAGTATGGGAGTGCAGAGAGATGGGGGGGGGAGACCAGAACCTCATCATGTCAGCTTCAGTTTTCTGAAATTACTCACTTCCCCCGTGTAGCTTAGGTGTGGTTACGTAAGACAGATGTTATACTAGAAGCAGGAAAACCTGGGTTCAAATCCTCATTCAGTCCTGTAGCTCACTGGGCAACCTTGGTCTAGTCATTGTCTCTCAGCATGCCTTCTTATCTCACAAGTTTGTTGAGAACTATGTATGCCATTGTTGCAAGCCTTTTCCCACCTGGTCTGGGAGGACGGAGATCTGACTGACTCCAGCTACAAAAGCTGGAACAGACTCTTGGGCTGGGGGTGTGTTATTGGGGAAGGTGTTGTTGCTGCCATTGTTTTTGTATATTTATTTTAGATTTTGTTATGATTTATGCGGAAATTGTTCAGTTTGTTTGCATATTTTTATTTACTGTTTATTTGTGCATATGCATTGATATATATATATATATATATCCATGTTGTGAGCCTCCCTTAGTATGGTTTGAACTGTGGATAGGCAGCATTCAAATATGCATGGCCAATGGCCAATGATGTTCAAGTCTAGCAACCTATTACCACTCCTGATGTGAATGTCTCTGGAGGAAGGGTAATAAAAAATAGTCATTTCTATAATATATTTCTCCCAAACCGTAGTGGGCAGTGCCACTCACATGACCTCTAGTTGGTTGTATCACTGCTGCCTTCTGGGAGGTACAGGGACAGGGGTGAGGGGTGAGGGGCAAGCGAGGTCAGCATGATGGAAACCAGTGCTTCTGCCAGTGTGTTTGTATTATATCAGCCTCCACACTCCTTCCATCCCTGCATCACTCAGTAAACAGCAGCAGTGAGGCAAGGGTCAGGTGAGCAGCAGTGCCCCTCCATGCTGTCCACTATGTCTCTCAAACCAGTACCTCAAGTAGGAAACTCTCCAGATAGAGAGTTACATTCTCTACCAGGATCAGGAGCTTTTGGGGGTTGGCACTGGAGAGAGTGTTTCCACACCTCTATTTGGTCCCAAAACACTGTGGTGAAAAATTGCCCAAATAAGTCTACTATTCATTATGTGCTGCTGTTAACTTCTTTTGCTAAATAAGTCTGCTGCTCAAATTGCCAGGTAAGACAAAGAAATGTCCTAGAAAGAACAAGCTGAATGACAGCAGAGTCCCTATTATTTGCCAGAATCCACTCCTTGATGAAACATATTGCTGACTCACATTGCATCTTTCTCAACAGCAGCCAAGTACTGCGTAAACTAAGATAGCATCTCAGCCTCTTCCTTTTGCCCTTTCCGCTCACTGGTGTTCATTCCACTTCATTCATTCTCCTTTGAACAGATAGCCCCTTTAAATGGGCCACTTGGGTAAATGAAATCCAAGCAAATTCTGGGATGTGTGGTTTATATAAAAAAGGTCTGGAGACCTCCCCCCTTTGTCGATCAGCCTTCACCAATATAGTGCCCTCCAGCTGTTTAGGATGGCAAATTCCATCAGCTCCAGATGGTACAGCTGTGACAGCCGAGGCTGATGGGAGTTATCTTCCAAGACTTCTGAAAGGCAACAGGAGGGTGAAGGCTGCTGGAGATGGAATATGTGCTCTTCTTGTGTCCCTAAATGGTTAATTTAGCCTTACTAGATACAGTAATCTTTACTGGATTCATACCTAGTGGGAATTTAAGCACTGTTCTGATCACACATGATTCCACCTGGGACACACCTGTGTACAGCATTCACAAGGCCCATTCATTTTATAGACCAGCTTTGATGTTTCACACACAACTATTTTATGTGGATTATTTCTTCCTTCCTTGGAAAATAAGGAAAAGAGGACCACCATTGGCACTACAGTCCACTAAATAGAAAGCTCACACCAAGCTGTGAAAGTAAGAGACCTCATAAGTCAGTTCTTATTCTCTTTATGGTGGTACTCTCCAAACAGATTTTTTGATCACTGGCAGTCGCAAAAGAAAAAAGGATCCGCATTGCTCCCGCTCTCAACTTTCTCAAAGACAACAACAACAACAACAACAAGGCTTTCAATAATGGATAAATACCTGGCCAAGTTAAAATTAAGCATTGATCTTGTCATACCAACTTCTAAGTGCTATTGATTTTTTGGCCTGGGGTCTGAGAGTATGACAAAACTGCAACACTGGGAGAAACATAGCAGCAGAATGACTTTGGGTATTGTAACCAAATAGTTCAGACACTGAGGTTAAAACATAGTCCCCTTGGGGTGCGTGGAAGGTTCATTTTAAACATTCTTCAGTATATAGTAGCAGTTAACAAGCCAGTGCAAGACATGGAGTGAAGGGCTATAGATTTAGTACTAAGCCAAATATCAGTAGCATCCCTGAAGTTCTAAACAAAGAGGGAACAATCCATATCATATTAGGCTGACCCAAGGGTCGCTTCATGTATTAATGCTTACCAACATTATTGTTTGCCTTGCTGCAACTGGAAGTGTTTGCTGTCTATTCAATTGTCTATTACACATTTTTGGGATACAAGTGAATGGCTCATTCCAGCCCACTCCATCTGTGAAGGGGCCTTCAGAGAAGATAACAGAGATCTGTATTCTCCACCTCACCACAATCCCTTGGTCCTCAAGCACCAGGCCATTACAAGATATGAATGGTCATGTGTGCTTCCCATATCCTGTCCTGCCCTTTCCCTCTGCTCCATCAAGGAATGCAGGTCTGCATTCTTTGACTGAGCACAGGGAAGAATGGACAGCAATATGAGATGTGAGCACTCTGCAGCTCCACATAATGGGCTGAAATGCACCACGTGCACAATTTGCTGGGAAAGGGAGGGAGAACAGGGCTCTACTTTACCCTAGGAGAATCCCTTCCAGCTGGTGTGCATGTATGCATGGGTTAAGAAATAAGTCTAGTGACCCTAACCTCTGCTTAAAAAAATTGGGTTAAAGTTTTTATTGTGTGTCTCAATTTTCTCTCTCCCTAAACTGCACTTTGAATCTAGGGGTAAAGAAAAAGAAACATAGGAAGTAGGGAGGGGAAAAAAGAGACTAGAAAGAAAACAAGGGAAAGAAGGTATGATAATCTCTTACCACATACTTTCCTTACAAGTGAAACTATAAACAAAGCTTTTACCACACCTTTAAGACAAGTAAGACTGAGTAAGTTGTGCTTACAATTCTGTGTGCGAAGTTTGGTGCAACAAATCCAGACAACATCTGAAGCTCGTTTCAGAAGAGAAAAGACCTAAAACTGCACTTTGCTTATGACAACTCTTACACACACACACACACACACTTGAAGCTCCTTCGGACTCTGTTGATTCAAAGATTTCCCTCTGTTTCCCTCTTTCAGCTCATTTACACAAACAACAATCAAATATGCAAGAAATTTTAGGCCGCATATTTTATAACGAAAAGATTATGACCAGTGCTAAATGCAGATGAGATGATGTGATGTTCTTACCAGTTATATTGCAGTAGACTAAAAGTGGTGGAAGTGGACCACTTGCATCAGAATCGATGTGGAAGAAACCAGATGTTTTCCCTTGGTGCCGATAGGCTTCACATGACTTCTCATAAATAGCTGAAAGGAAGAGAAATAGATATTTGCAGTATACACATCAAAATAATAGCTCAGGTAGTTTGGGACAATTTAGTGCTGTGCAGCAACTGCCTATCTCACTGCATGGCGGCTGCAACTAGGCAGGGAGCTGGTTATCTGTAGTGGAAGCCTAAGGAGTAAAGCTGACCTGACGGTACTCAGATTCACTGTGAATTAGCTAGCAAGGGTATGGCAGCTACATGCCCATTCAGTATACAAATCTGTCTTCATACACGGAAGTGGCTGTCGCACAGTGAGATTATAAGCAACCACCAAGCATTTCTGTGCCATTTTAAACTACCCACAGATTGTCCTGTTTAAGTGGAAGCAAACTCAACAGTCTTTAATTGGGCTGTGTTTGCTGGAGATCTTCAGTAGGAATGCAGCCCTCACAGAGAAACTGGCTGTGTTGTTTTCTTTCATTAAATCAAGATGCTATCATTCAAGAGCAGTCAATTTTTCTCACATATAATAATCCTGAAGATGGTGCTAGAATTTGAAAAGGGAGAGGGATGAGGAGAAACTGTTAGGAAACAAGTAGGAGTCAACTAAGGCTTCAATCCTATACCAATTTAATTCAATTTGGGTTGCCATATTTCAAAATGTGAAGTCGTTGAGCTTTTTATTTGCAAGATGTCCCTCCAAAATTAAATCACCAAAAACTCAACACTTCCAGGAATTTCCCCCTCAAACATTTTTGCCAATCTTCAGAAATTCCACCCGGACACTATCTCTGATGAGCAAATCCCAGATATGTCTGGGAAATTCTGGACTTACTCCTGAGTAGACATTAATTAGATTACATTGTAAATAATGGTTTAAGGGATAAAGTCCTTGAGTAAAAGCTAAAAGTGATGGACTGTAAACTGCTATATACTGGAATATTGATGTATCTCCTTTTTCTGATCCATGGATTCTGTGCATTGTCTCCTTTCACCAATCCAAAATTCCAACTCTGCCTACATATATTATATACATATGTCCCTTGATTCCACATAACTAAGATGAAATCAGTTGTTACCATACTATATTAATTTGAGTTCATTAGCCATAATAGCATGCTTACTATATTTCCCCCTAGCTAAGTGCTAAAATGCACACTCTGCCACATGTAGCGAATTGATCAAGATGTTTTCCTTCCATAGGAGATGAAAATATTTTGGAAACATCTTGTAAGAATGAAAGCAAACACAGATGCTTGCCCTTTTGTAATAAAAAGAATAAAAGCTTATTGATGCTAATTACAACATATAACATTTGCATTGGGGGTCATTATTGGATGTTTCAATGTCAAATTTCTTCTCTGCAATTTTCCACATTTCACATCCAACAGTCATACTAGAACTTTGTGTAGAAGTTGCATGCTAGCACAGATTATGAGAGGCTAGGGGGACCTCGTAAGATTCCCATTTATTTTGCTCCTGGCTCCAAAAATGCAGTGATTCCCCTAGCTATCAAAATCATGCAGTTAATAGATTAGCTGCTTCATAATATTGTGGTGGTGGCAGCTTTCATTTGTGTAGTAATTTTGAGTGGGAAAAATGATAAGATATGTTTACACACTAATCCCCAGGATTTTACTGGTGTAGCATGTCTGGCGAAACATAAACCCCTTGAGGTATACTATGCAACTTTTCCTAGCAGCTTTCTTTCTGTGTAACTGAAGTAAACAGGTCTTTTCAAATAGATTATCAAATCTAAATAACACTGCTCAATGGTTAAAGAATGTTACCTGATCTTATGGAACTGGTTCAGCAAAGAGAACAATTTTGCTTGACACAGTAGTTGGGACAAAATCATTTACAGTCAGCATATTAACTGTAAGCATCAGGGTTCGATTTTCTTCATGTATGTTTTAGAATCAAAGGATGACCTTTCGTTAGTGTCATCCTGCTGTGTCCCAAGTCAGTTTTTTCCCTGTGGCTACCACTGATTTCTTCAGAATTAAGCATCACTGACTTTAAGGTATGAGCCTGCTTAACTAGGGAGTCCCTCCTAGATGTCCCAAATTCCCCAGAAAAGTGCATAGTTGGCAACATGGAGCAGACCTTCCTTGTGGTTTATGCCTATGTTTTGGACCTCCCTTTGAAGGAAAGACCAGCTTACTGCTTCATTCATGTCCTTTCAGAAGTTGGTTCGGGACTACGTCTTTAGGAAACCATTTTCATTTGTAATTCTGCGATTTAACATCTTTTTTTTTTGCAGTCGTATTTTTATTTCCTTCTGCATTGGTGCTACATTTTAAATAATGTGTTTAATTGTTAATACATGGCTTTATTGTTGTGGTTAGCAGCCTTGAGTTCTCAAGAGGAAAGGCAAGAAATGCTAAAAACAAATTTGGAAATTAGCACACAGTGGAGAATTGTTTACACTGCTAGATGTGGCGGTTTGGGGATTGGAGGGAGACATAAAACGAGTCATCAATGAGATAGGAAGAGTTGTACGTTCGGAGGAACTTGAGGCTCAAGGAAAATAGCAACATTTAGTTCTGTCTCACCACTTGCTCTAATGAAGCTTCACATGGCAAAAGAAAGAACTAATCTGGTAGTAGCATTTTCATACCTTCCAACATTTCTCTGATGGAAATTATCAACAGCAGCAGCAACAACAATTTTATTATTTATACCCCACCTATCTGTCTGGTTTGCCACAGCCAGTCTAGATGGCTTCCAACTTATATAAAAACGTAATAAAACTATACAGGGCTGCCTTCAGATGTCTTCCAAAGGTTGTATAGTTACTTATCTCATTGGCTTGGGGGTTGCATAACTCCATACCCTACAAAATTTCTCGGAGGAAAACAAGGACATCCTAAGGAAATGTGGGACATTCTGGGATTAAATCAGAAACCGGAAAGGCTTCTGTAAATCTGGGACTGTCCCTGGAAAATAGGGACACTTGGAAGGTCTGCATTTTGCATGCATGAATGCTCCTTCCTTCTATTTAAGAATATCAGGGATGGGGGAGATTCACATTTCATGGCACTTGTGGTTAGGACATATGAAGCTGCCAGATCAATTAGTCCTTCTGTCTTGGTGTAGCAAGTTTATACCAACTGGCTGCAGCACTCCAGGTCTTCAGAGATGTCTCTTTCCTACCTCTACTGAGAGATGCTGAAGTTTGGTCATATGACCTTTTCCATGCACAGCATGTACTCTGGCAATGATCTATGGCTCTTTCCCACACACAGAGGGGATGTACATCAGAGAGAGAGAGTGGTGGGAAGTGTGTAAAATTGGCAATTCTCATACAGTTCACTTATTGAATCTGTGAATGTTTTCACTAAAGGACACCTTATGTTGCCACTTAGGGGCCTTGCTAAATATACCTCTTGTATCATGCATTGACAGATACAGGGCAGAAAAATAATTAAAGAGAAATGTATATACTGAGTTGGCTGTGGGTTATGGATGTTTCTAGAACCTGCTCTACATCACTGGCCTATTAATAATTTTTGCTTGCTGGAGCGAAATCATATGATTTCTTTGAAATATGAACGAAAGATGTGAAGTCACTCATTAGGAATGCAGGCAGATGGTATAATGAAGCATTATTGCCAACAAAAGAGTCCTTTGGAGGTTATCACACAAACCAACGGCAGGGAAATCCACATCCTGAAAACCAAAGCAGAGTGTAACGTACGCACTGGGATTAAAATGGCATAACACTCTTCCAGAGAAACATAATTGTTTTCAAAGAGATAAAAACAGAGATGAAATGAAGGAACTGATTCCCTTTTCATGTTGGTGTTTTTTTTTTTTTAATATTCACACTCTCAAAATATAACATTGTGGGCCCATATTTCACTTCCTTCTCTTTGATTTCCTTGATTAGTTTTCTGGCACCAGAAATACAGTATCATGTGGCTATGATAGCCAGAGGCAATGAGAATGTGTGGTTTAGGATGTTTTTTCAGAGCCATTCAGGAATAACATGTGGTCCCTCCCACACATGTCTGTATGTGGGTGGCTGCCATGCTAAAAGCAACACCCAATCAAAGCCTGTTATACAAAACAAGAGATTCAGGACTTTACCCCTGCGGTAGTGACACAATGTGTGAACAGTACCCAGTTTTCTTTGTGAATGTCTAAACTTCCTCTTAATCTTCTTCTCTCTCTTTTTTCTTTTTTTTGTCTGAGCTACAACTTATTTTTTCCAGTGGTGTAGATAGCATCTGGTTGTTAACATTTGAAATTTGGCTCTTCTTCACTATATTGATTATGATTATTGATCTATTAATCACCTTCTAAACCACCATTTCGTGCTGATTTGCACATATTTATTTTTTTAAGCACAAAAAAATGCATCGGAAACAAAACTCAAACCCTAACAAGCAGAATCTTGTGGCAAAGACCCCTTTATCCAGCTGGGAAAGCCTGATTGAAGAAAAATGTCTTCAATTGTTTCTGGAAAGTGAAGATAGTGGGCACCTTCATATCTCAATAGAAACACTATTCCACAGAACAGGGGCTTCTGATCTTTTTCAATCTTGCAGGAGAAACCCTTCCACAAAACACAGTGATCTATTGGGTGTTTAAGGGATAAGGCTTAAGTAACTTGGTCCGAAGTTGTATGGGGACATATAAGTTAGTACCAATACCTTGGACTTGGAGTCCAGGAGCAGAATGACAGCCAGTGCAAATACTGGAATCAGGATATTATATCCTGGCAGTAATTCTGCCTCCACAAGCAGGCTAGTCACTGAATTTTGCCCCAGATGCGGCCTCCAGAACTAACCTCCATTCCATCAGTGATGGTTAAGCAATGCAACAGGGTATATCCAACTAAGTCATATTCAGAGTAAATGCAGTGAAAATAATAAACATGAGTAATATAAAGCTATTTATTTAAACTGATATATTCTATGTATTACTTAATTGGGCATAACCCATTAATAAGATACTGGGTTGCAATCATGTAAGCCAATCAGTGCTAGGGAAGGGATGAAGGGAAAAAATAAGAGAGACATCTGTGACAGCATT